CCACGATCTTGAAATCAAGAAAACAGTCCTAAAATTCACATAGAACCAGAAGAGACCCAGAAAAGCAAAAATCCATCTTGAGCAAGAAGAACAAACCTGGAGGCATCCCAATCCTAGATTTCAAGTTACCTTGTACAAGTGCACTGATAAAAGCAGCAAGGTACTGGCCAAAACCAGAAACGTGGGTCAAAGGAACAAAATAGAGGACGCAGAAACAACCTAGACACATTCTACCATCTGGTCTTTTTTTTTTTTAATTTTATTTTTAGGTAACAAGAACTTATTTATGAGAGTTCATGCCTCTAGTCCATGAGCTTGCCCCAAGCATCCTATTCGCAATCACAAGGGCTTACAGGTTGAGGTGACTCATGTGACAGGGACCCAGCACCCACACTTGCAAACCAAACCCTAGCAGGGGTTTGCAGGCCGAGCCACAGGCCAGGGCTGCGCTGTTTCTACACGGAAGCTTTGCCTTTGGTTAATGTGGCCTTTCCTAAACCAGCAGGATCTGTCCTTGTATCGTGACAATGTCCCCAGGAAAGGAGATCACTTAGGGACTGAATTTGTAGTCTCTGAGAGCTTTGGTTGTAGAAGCAGGAAGTCCATTCTCTTCAGCTTCTGGACATGGAGGAGCTGAGGGCCCTGCTGGAAAACTGAAGATACAAGGCTGTGAAGAGGAAGTCTGCAGCACTGTTGGCGACCAGCAGCTTCAAGTCTTTTTCAAAGTCTTCATTTATTGGAAAGAGAAAAGGTCCATTTCAGTATCTGCCTTGGAAACAGCAGTTGCCACGGGCCCTTATGTCACCTTCACCCTTTTGATTGCCTCTGATCCTTCCTGACTCAAGTGTAGGGAAATCAAGCTGAAAAAGCTTCACACCTATGTGCCGAGGTTGCAGTAAGGTGAAATCACAACAGGGCACAAAGTGCAGAGGTAGAAAGGGCCAGGAAAACCTATTTTGAAATCAGCAAGTTGTCATTATTTCATCCAAGTACATCAGGGTAGATTTTTCTCAAAGAGTAGCCAGCTTAACACGTGGTCATGAAGAGAGCGAGGAAAGGCTGCTGTCCAGGCCCGGTCTCCTCCAAACCATCCCTGTACATGGCCAGAGTACCTTCTCCTGTGGGGCAACTCTGCTGCTGTCACCAAGTGAGGCTTTGGCCAGGCCAACTTCTGGGATGCCATCCATTCAGTGCATCTCACTGTTGATTAAGTCCGTCAGACAGGGGCAGAGTTTCTGGATAAGTTTCCCAAAAACCTCAACGATTTCAAACAGCAGGTTCGGCATGTGTTGAGCTGACTTTTTGGCCATCTGCATGGACAGGATCAGCATGTTCCGTTCATTCTTCTCGTGTTCAGGGAAGTACGGCATTATCTGTTCTAGCGTGGCCACCAGGCATCGCATTCTGTCATCCTCTGACAGACTTGGGTTCGTCAAAATCTCATGCACCTTGCTCACGTGACTGAGATCAATTCTGCTTTCCATGTTCTCCCCACGATGGGCGAGTACTATTCCCAATTTCACCACGGTTGACCTTGTCACACTGGGCTGGCCGGCCCCATTGAGCTCCATGAGATACTCGCCATCCTCCTCGGAACCTTGCAGGTCCAGTATCTTGGCCACCGTCTCCAGCTCTTTATGGAAACTATGGTTAGTGAAGCTTTCGATGAAGCTAAGCAGCAGCAGCTGTGTGATGCGCTCTTTCTCTGGGTTGTCCATGGCACCAGCAGCACTGGTGGCTCGAACTCTCCGGGCTCCCAGGTGTGCTAGGTGGGCACTCCGAGAGGCTGGGATGCCAGAGGACCAAGGCTGAGTGGTGAGGAGACCAGCGAGGGAGGCTAAGTACTCCCCCTGCCCCAGTGCCCCTCCCGCACCCCAGTGCCCGCCTCTCTATGCTCCGCCCCAGCCCAGTGATGACTTTAACTCATTCTTATGAGATGTAACACTGGCTCAAATGGAATTTCCATTTTTTGATTTGGAGGCATCTCCACACTGATTTGCATCGTGGTTATAGGTGCTGACACTCCTTCTAACAATGCAGAAGGGTTCCTTCCTCCCAGTAGCTTGGCCAGCATTGGTAACTGTTTGCTGTCTTGATGATAGCCATTCTTTCTGGAGTAGGAGGCAAGCCCAGTGTTGTTTTGATCTGCACTCCCCAGGCTACCCACTCCTGCCTGATTCAATAGACAAAAAGTGTTTTCCACTGTGGAATGATTCCAAAATCCTGTGATTCCTGTCTTGTCTGACCTTCCTACAAGCTCAGGATGCGAGTTAGCACTTTGCACCCCCAGTGCAGGACCAGAGAACAGAGGAGAAGGGAAGGAAGAGAGGAGGTGTGTCAGGTGTCCCGAAAAGGGAGACCGGTGGAATCACACTTCAGGCCAGAAACTCAGGGCCCTGCTCCTCACCCTTCTCCCTGGGGACAGCCAGGCAGCTCCCTCTGTCAGGGTCTCTCAACGTCTTTCACTGTGCCACAGGAATGGCCAGGACACCACCTCCCTCCCAGGAGGTAGAGCTTTGGTAACTGGCAGGAAGGCCAGGTAGGGTGTAAAGAGAAGAGGGGAAGAAGGCTGACTGTGGAGAGGATATGCACTGGCGGGGCTTAGCAGTGCACACACGTAATCCC